TAACACCGTTCATCTTCACCAAACTTCTCTCAATTTATGTCCTAACCCAAAGAATAAAAATTAATGAAGTTGTGAGAGCCCTAACTACTAATTAAAATTTAAAATTTTCTGATTTAAAAAAAATGTAAGAAATACAGATAATTAACTAATCCTACCAAAACTAATTTATTATATATATATATATATAGATATATGGAAAAACCAAAATAAAATTGTAATAGTATCTAAGCCATATCAAATTTGAAAAATAAAAAAAATAATAATAATAAAAAAATCTTCAAATGCTAAGTTAAACATGGAATTTGATTCATATTTAATTTTAAAAAAACTATCTATTATATCTATAGCAATATGTATCTATCTATCTGTAAGATAATAATTAGTTCCATTTTAGTAAATCATGATCACCATAACATTACTCTTTTTAAGAATCTATAAAAAAATAATTTAAATTTTGTAATATGAATTATTCAGACCTTATTAAGAATAAAAAATATATATATATATTAGTAAATTATAAAATTATCCTTGTGATAAATTATCATTATTACTACATTTCATCCAAATGGCAGGCCACATCCAAATAATTCGGTCAAAAAATAAAATCTAGTTTATTCTATATCTAAAAGGCTAGTTTTAGTATTATAAACAAAATAGTATCTAGTTAGTTTCGTTTCTCTCCCAATTTGTCCTCTCTCGAGATTCAAAATAGGTATTTATTCTCATTTCTCTCCTATTTGGTAATTCAAACAAGTGATTGAAATCTATTTCTCCCCATTTCATTTTTTTCTCTCCAAATCACTCAAACCAAATTCCAATAAAAAAAAAATACCCAAAAACAGATTTGACCCAAAACTAAGCAAACAAGAAAGACCCAACCGAGATTTCCAAATCATAGATCCACAAAATCAAGAATCAGAGCAATGTCATCGAAATGTAACAAATAGACAATCCAAAAACTACCCAATACAAAAATTCAGATAGAAATTTAAAAACTTCAGATGCTATAACATAGATATAAAAGACAGACAGATAAAGAAAATCCCAAGAAAATAATCAGAAGGGTCTTACCATTAGCATCCTCCATGATCAAATTTAGATGAAATACAAGAAAGTGAATGAATTCCAAGAAATGGGTTTGGTTTGGTTTTGGTTTTGGTATGGAAAAGAACAATTGTTGTATTATAGAACTTTTCTAAATTAAAATTTTATTTATAAACTAGATTATTTATAAATCTAGTTTTAGAATAAACTAGATTATTTATAATCAGAAGGGTCTTAGCATTGCTATTAGTGTTGTTAATTCATTTTAACAAGAGCAACTGTTGTATTATAGAACTTTTCTAAATTATTTATATATTATACTTTTTTAAGCATAATCCTATAGCATATTTTGCATATGTAGCAATTGTCCATAGAAACGAAAATACATTTTGGAAAAAGATGACTCTATCTTATCATCAAACTTGCTCTTAGGGACACATCACCGAGGTATGCCCAAGTGGTGTCAATACTAAACGCAAGCCCAACAGAGATACAACACCCAATTAAAGTGCCTATAGCTAATAGGGCACAATCTTATGCAAAAGCATTAAAAATAAGCTGGGACATATGACTTCAAATAGAAGCTTATAATGTTTGCATCGCTTATTGTAACACCCCAATTTTCATACCCAAATGACAATACAATAATCATGGCCCTTTTTAAGGAAAACCAATCACACAATCCCACACTTGCATTTCATAATGTAAATAGTTCCTCATGCGATAATACATTAATTCGACAACAAGTAAATGAACAAATAAATACCCGAAAGGGTTCACAAGTTTCCAACACTTAAGCCCGGTTACACATAACGGTTATTCAAACCCACACATACAAATCCTTTGGCTTACAAATAGAATCACAGTAAATGAGAACCTTGTGCTCTCAACACACACATTTTTCCACGCCCTCAGTTAGGCAGATTCACCACGTCTTTTCCTGCACAAAAATCCTATAGGGTGAGCATAAAGCCCAGTAGGAAATCCTTCACAAAGTATATACATTTTATACAAATCTCAAGAGATGAATGTATATGCCATGCTATGCCTTTTTACAAATAAATCACATCTTCATCTTTTGAAAACCATCATGCTCAATGATGCCATGCAATTTCCATTGTTCAAAGCTTAACAATTTTACTCAAGGGGCGGTAAATACAACTCTAGTAATCCCTACGTCTGTGTTTGTAAGTAGACTATGTAAGTACTATCAATTTGTCATTTTTTACCAGTATTAACTAGAAGGCTCGACACCTATGATCTGTCATTTTTACCAGTATTAACTGGTAGGCTCGACACCTATCCGTGCAGTTTTCTGGTCTTTCACCAAAGACACATAGGCCAACTTAATCAAATTCATCTACACTACCTTTCAAGACTTACCACCGTATTTACCCCAAAACCAACTTATGAAAACTTGTTTCTCAACATTCTTTTCTTAATGCAAAGTTTTCAAATCAAATTTCAAAGCTCTTCATTATCAAATGAATTGATATGCCAATGCAACGATTAATAATACAATGCAATATTTCTTCCTCTCAATACTCCCACACAATATTCCCATTGTGATCAAAATTCTCACTTCTCATTTCTATGCAATTTCACAAGATGAATAAATACTTTTATTTCAATTCATCCAAGGGATAGCATAATTCCCACATTTCAAGCAATCTTAACAATTTAGTCATCTCAAGGCTATATTAATACTTTTAAACAACAATTCCCAAAACTTCAACAATTCCTATATTCTATGAAAACATCATTTATATGTAAATAAATAAACAATTTTCTAACATCATTTATTTTGGTACACAAAGTAAATTTAACAACATATTCTAAAGATTTTCAGCATCTTTCTTAAAAATCCCCAATTTCTAGATTTTCTCACCAAAAATCATTCATCTTCAAATATTTGAAAAGATCTCACCAAAAACATCTTTCTTTTACCAACATACTCCAAAACCCTCAATTTCTATTTTAAAAGAAATAAGAAAGTAAACCCACTTTCAAAATCACTCATCTTCTTGAATCAACAATCCATTTTTTTTTAAAAAAAAATCGAAGGATGATTTTGAAAATCATCTAGATCTTGCAAAAATATATATATATATATATAACTCAAAGAATATCCCTACCTCAAGCTTAGAAGAGAAGATGAACAAAACAAGGTTGAAATTCCAAAGATGTCAAAACCAACTTCTACTTGGATCAAAACGAAACTCTTGACAAGATTTACACTTAATCTCAAAGGACCATGGTGAAAAGATCACTCTAGGTGAGTAGATCTAGAGATCTAGGTGCGAAAAGTCAAGTTTTAGAGAGAGAAGAGAGAAATCGCGGTTTGAGAGGAAAAGAGGAGGAAAAGTAATGAGAGAAAAGTGGTTTAGGTCTATTTATAGTAGTAGAGAATTGCCCTAAAGTCAAATAAAAAGGACAAGTCAAAAACCTCCAAAAAGTAAGGCCCAAACCAATCCAAAAAGCTAAAAATTATACGCAGGTGTCGCCCCTTCGGGCACAGGGGTCGACCCTTCAGACAGAAAAGCAAAGTGTCACGACCCCAAACCGCCCCTAGTAGTTTGGTGTCGTGATGGCCAGTAATCCGTGATTACTGAAGGCCAACTTCCAAAAATCAGACACAATCAGAGTATATATATATATATATATAGGGGGCTCACAAATGTGGAAGCAATAATCTAAAACACAAGTGGTACATAAGAGCAGTGCATAAATCAATGGAATGGCATACATCTTTACATAGCTTTAAAACTTGAACACAAAAGTACATATTACATCTTGGCAAAAGGCTTCTCAAGCCGACATAAATATAACACATGAAATACAAATCAAGAATACAAAATCTTCAGATTGCCGACATCCTCAAAGCTGACATAACATGCATACAAACACACATCTCGGCGTAGCCGACTTGTTGCTTGTTACCTGCATATATACATAGGGATGGTGAGCTTGGATACTCAGTGAATGGTATAAGTAATAAAGGGGTTAAATGAATGATTCCCGAGGTCTTTCAAAACAATACATAATATATCTTCATCAAAACCATACATAACATAGCTTAGCTTGACTTGTAACAAAACTTCAATCAAATTTTAGTCTTTCAAAACTTGCTTGGAATACTTAACATACATCGACTTAAAACATGGGGTGATGACATTCCAGGCAAAACAAAACCATAACCTCGGCATCGAGCACACCCGTTCATAGTCCGTCGGTGGCCGATATCTTAACAAGGGTGCTACTTAGGCTTAACATCCCCTAGCACGAAAGGACGGTGCTACCTAGGCTTAAAGTCCCCTAGCACGGAAGGACTATGCTACATAGGCTTAAAGTCCCCTAGCACGGAAGGACTATGTTACATAGGCTTAACATCCCCTAACACGGAAGGACGGCGTTACTTAGGCTTAACGTCCCCTAACACGAAAGGACGGTTCCAAGAATGTCATCCAAAATAGAGCTTATACTTGATACATAAAAATAGGGATATCATTCATGCTTAACAAAATACTTTTATCAAAACAAGGCAAAGCTTTATTAAAATTTGATAACATAACTTTATCAGAAATACCACTCACATAGTTCTTGGGACGTCGGGATCAAGGCAAAGGTCCAAGTCCTACAAACACATGGCAAGGTCTAATGAACATACTCCCCAAAACAAGTCTTACATGCATGCAAATGATCTCGGGAAAACATGCTGGAAGTCAAAACACCGTTTTACATGTTAAGAAGACATGCTGGGTACTAACCAGGTCTTTGCCGAGGTCCCACACCTCCTGGCCGAGGTGTAGCTACCTAGGCTTCGGCATGCGGCTGCATGCCAAGGTGCGCACAAGACAGACTAAAGGTGTAAGTGATCATGCAAGGTAGGCCAAGGTGAGATACGATGCTTGGCCTAAGTGTGAGGTCTGGGCAAGAGTGATCTCAGCGACTACACCTCAGGAAGTGAAGTCTGGAGATCTGGGTTTCCACCCGTGAAGAACAGGAAGAACATGAACATGAAGATCATGAAGAACATGGATGCTAAAATCATAACTTCTTTATAACAAAAATCTGGGATTTCATGCTATGAGTTCGAAAACATGGACCTAGGTACCCATACTTGAAAATCATGCGAAAACAAACACAAAAACATGGATCTAGGCATGAGCCTTCAGATCAAAACATGACTTTTCTTGAAGAACATATGAATACTATTTCTTCTTTCTAAAACCGAGCTTCAAAGCAATGCATGCCTTACAAATCATATTTAATCATGCAATGCAACAACATAAACATAAAGAACAACAAGAGCGGATCAAGAATCTGACCTTAGAACGCAGATCTAACGGTTCGATCTCTAGGAATCAAGCTTAGAAATCCACTCTCTCTCAAGAACTCTTCTTCCTCTCCTAGAGCTTCTCTCTCTTCTAAGACAAGGATATAGCAAATGATATGTTTTTCTCTCTCTGCCAGCTGATTTAGTTCTCAGCTCGGACACGTGGCAACGGTTGGTTGGTTCTCTTCAAAAAGGTGATGGATTGACAAGACAAGGCTATGACAAAGCGTATCTAACATGCTACTCGGTATGGCACTCCGGCAAGTGGTGACATCGGCTAACAACAAGACGTCGGCAACTAAGGTTCCAATGACCTCGGCTAGGAAGGACAACACTTGACTAAGTTGTGCCACACCTTGGCCTAGATATGCCACACCTCGGTCTAGGTCATACCACTCCAGGACAAGATCACTCAGGTGCAAAGGTAACATCTCGGCCTAGATGATACACATCTCGGCCTTGGTGATTAACACCTCGGCCTAGATAATGACATCTCGGCCAATATGTCAGAGCAAAGGTGGAGGTCAAACGAAAGGGTTCCAAGATACTTTCAGACTGAAGATGACCTCGGCTTGGAATGATCTAGGCATAACATAACCTAGGCTTGGCATAACTTAGGCTTCAGGCAACAAGAAAGGAAACAAACATGCAACACACTTAGGAAAAACAAGGCAAGATTTCTGAATTCAAACTTAGCTAAACAGGATTATATAAATGTATGCAAGCATGACTAAGATATGAGTGTGGGTCCTTACACAAAGAGTGCAACAAGCAAGGTGTCGACCCTTCCCAGATTGGTGTTGTAGACACCCCATTTTTGACTGACCTTATCTTCTTGTCACCTCTAGCTTTTATCTTGGGACAATCCTTAATGCGATGACTCATCTCACCGCATTCGAAACATGCTCCAGTTGTCCGAAGACAAACCCCAAAATGTCGCTTCCCGCAAGTTGCACATGTCGGCCAGGTTCCACCTTCCTGATTCGCGTTGTTGGGACTATCCTCCCTTGTCTTCTCCTCGGCGTCATTCGGGTCTGCTTCTTTTTCGCGATTGTCATAGGTCTGCCTCTTCCTCTGATTTTTCCTCGAACTTTGAATTCTGTTCAGGTTGGCTTTCGCAAGGATGGCTTTATCCAACACTCCAGCATACGTTGGCATGTTAAGAAAATTAACTTGATCTTGTATTGGCCCTCGAAGTCCACTCTCAAACTTCCTAGCTTTCATGTATTCGCTGCCGACCATGTGAGGTGCATACCTTGCCAACTCAGTGAACGGACGATCATACTCTGCCACTGTCTTGCTTCCCTGTGTCAACATCTGAAATTCTGTAGTCTTGCGATCTCGAACACTGAGTGGAAAGTGTTGTCGTAGAAAAGCTCCAAAAATCTAGCCCAAGCCAAGTCTGGGTTGCCTTCTCGAATCATCATCCACCATCTACGGGCGTCGTCTTCCAATGTGAATGCTGCTAGTGACACCTTCTGAACGTCGGTGCTGGGAAAAACCTCGAACATTTTCTCCATGTCAAGAATCCATGCTTCTGCTTTCATCGGCTCTATACCTCCCTGGAACTTCGGCGGTTTCATCTTCTTGAATTCCCTGATCAGAGTCAATGTGTCATCTCCATACAAAACTGGCTGCGGAGGCACTTGTGGTACTGGCGGTGGTGGAGCTGCATGTCGGCCATCTGTCTGCTCGGCCTGGGTGGAGGTAGTACCGGTGTTCTGCTGCCTTGCCTGCCCTAATTCATCGGCCAAACTTTCAACCAATCTTTCCAATCTATTTATTCTGTCCTCGGATTGATCTCGGCTAACTGGGGGTCTACCTCTTCTCATGATGCTGGGGGTATGCAGGATGTGACTCTTAGAATAAAATGAACAGATGAACGTGTGTGCAAGTGAACATGATCATGCCGATGTAACAAAATGCTCATGCCGAGATAATGCACACCTTGTCAAGTAGCAAGCAACATGATGCAATCTTAACATTCTTCCAAGGGACATCCTATGCTCTTTAGGACTGATTGTGTGTGATTTTTGTAAGACGGCCTTCGGTAACCTCGGGTTACTGGCCATCACGGCACCAAACCACTAGGGGCGGTTTGGGGGCGTGACAACGGATCTAACGGTCCGATCTCTAGGAATCAAGCTTAGAAATCCACTCTCTCTCAAGAACTCTTCTTCCTCTCCTAGAGCTTCTCTCTCCTCTTCAAAACAAGTATACAACAAAATGATGGGTTCTCTCTCTCTATCGGCTGACTTAACTCTCAGCTCGGACACGTGGCAACGGCTGGTTGGTTCTCCTAAAAAAGATGATAGATTGACAAGACAAGACTATGACAAAGTGTATCCAACAAGGTACTCGGTATGGCACTCCGACAAGTGGTGACATCGGCTAAGGACAAAGCTTTGGCAACTAAGGTGACAATGACCTCGGCTAGGAAGGACGACACTTGACTAAGTTGTGCCACACCTTGGCCTAGATGTGCCACACCTCGGTCTAGGTCATACCACTTCAGGACAAGATCGCTCAGGTGCAAAGGTAACATCTCGGCCTAGATGATACATATCTCGGCCTTGGTGACTCACACCTCGGCCTAGATAATGCCATCTCGGTCAATATGTCAGGGCGAAGGTGGAGGTCAAACGAAGGGGTTCCAAGATACTTCTAGACTGAAGATGACCTCGGCTAGGAATGATCTAGGCTTAACATAACCTAGGCTTGGCACGACTTCGGCTAAACATAACTTAGGCTCGGGGTACCAAGGAAGGAACAAAGCAAGCACACAAAACTTAAACAAATCACATAGGCATCAAAACAAGGCATGGATCTTACTTAGGCAAAACAAGTCATAATTATGCAAATGCAAGCTTAACGGGTCATAATCATACCAATGTTCATGAACATGACTACGACATAAATGTGGGTTATTACATCCTTCCCTCCTTAAAGAAGTTTGGTCCCCAAACTTCGCTTACCTTGTTCCCAAAACGACTCTCGATATCGAGTTCTCATCTCTTCTTATCTTCCTTAGCTTTTACCTTGGAACAATCCTTAATACGATGACCCATCTCACCGCATCCGAAACATGCTCCAGTTGTCCGATGACAAACTCCTAAATGTCGCTTCCCGCAACTTGCACATGTCGGCCAGGTTCCACCTTCCTGATTCGCGTTGTTGGGACTATCCTCCCTTGTCTTCTCCTCGGCGTCATTCGGGTTTGCCTCTTCTTCGCGATTGTCATAGGTCTGCCTCTTCCTCTGATTCTTCCTCGAACTTTGACTTTTGTTCAGGTTGGCTTCTGCAAAGATGGCTTCATCTAACACTCCAGCATACATCGGCATGTTGAGCAAATTAACTTGATCTTGTATTGGCCCTCGGAGTCCACCCTCAAACTTCCTAGCTTTTCTGTACTCGTTGTCGACCACGTGAGGTGCATACCTTGCCAACTCAGTGAAAGCACGATCATACTCTGCCACTGTCTGCTTCCCTGTGTCAACATCTGAAATTCTGTAGTCTTGCGATATCGAACACTGAGCGGGAAGTGTTTGTCGTAGAACAGCTCCAAAAATCTAGCCCAAGTCAAGTCTGGGTTGCCTTCTCGAATCATCATCCACCATCTACGAGCGTCGTCTTCCAATGTGAATGCTGCTAGTGACACCTTCTGAGCGGCGGTGCTAGGAAAAACCTCGAACATTTTCTCTATCTCAAGAATCCATGCTTCTGCTTTCATCGGCTCTATACCTCCCTGGAACTTCGGCGGTTTCATCTTCTTGAATTCCCTGATCAGGGTCAATGTGTCATCTCCATACAAAGCTGGCTGCGGAGGCATTTGTGGTACTGGCGGTGGTGGAGCTGCATGTTGGCCATCTGTCTGCCCGGCCTGGGTAGAGGTGGTACCGGTGTTCTGCTGCCTTGCTTGCCTTAACTCATCGGCCAAACTTTCAACCAATCTTTCTAATCTGTCTATTCTGTCCTCGGATTGTTCTCGGCCAACTGGGGGTCTACCTCTTCTCATGATGCTGGGGGTATGCAGGATGTGACACTTAGAACAAAATGAACAAATGAACATGTATGCAAGTGAACATGATCATGCCGAAAAACCACTGAGATTTAGTATTAAAAATTTTAAAAAAAGTTGACAAAGAGGTGGGAAACACAAGGGCAAAGGCCTAAGAAATGAGGTATAAAGAAAGGTGATCCACCCCTTCACCCCTAATGGCCTTAAACCACAAGTTTCAACCAAAAAATTTAGAATATAAATAGCCCAAAAATAGTCTAAAAATAGTAGGCAAAATAGTAAATAAAGCAAAGAAATAAGCCAAGACTTATACCGCTTGAAGATGAGAACCTTTCTAGGTGTTAAACTAACACTTATACACCCTCAAGAGCTCAAAGTATGCTCAAAAGTGCCTCAGCTCATATACCACAAGGTTTGGTTTGGAGTATATAGGCAAAGGCTTAAGAATTTGCAAGAGAGAGAGAAATAATTTTGCTCCAAATTTTCCAACCCTAAAAAATAGAAGGGGAGGTCTTCTATTTATAGAAAAACATGAAACTCCCTCAGAAATATCCATACATACATGTGTAGGCAAATGCTTGCATCTGTGGAAACAGTTGGCATAGCTGGCCAAAATATCTACAAAAACACACAAGTGGCTGGCAGGCCACACAAATGGCCGGCTACCCCCACAGGGTTTTTGGGCTTGAAAAACTGTGGTTTTTGATCCAACACAAGTCACAAGGTGTGTAGGTTTTAAATTCTAAAAGTTGTGGCATTCTGTTGAGGACTTTGAGCACTTGACAAGCATATACAAATTCATCATTGGGTGCGCAAGCAGTGGTGCCCAAGTCGTAAGGACAGTAAAAAATGGGGTGTCTACAGTTGCCCTTCTTTGACAGAACTCAAAGTCATGAAATGACGTGAGTGAATGTCAAAGCCCGAAGACGACCCATTTTGACAAGGCCGTAAGACTTGGGCAAGCAATCAAGACATAAATTAAATGGTTGCGCTCGCAAGCTGCCTGCGTATCCCTTTGCTAGGAATCAAACCAGCGTAGTTCTGGGGCAGGATGCAAATGATATGCACAAAGATACTTTGAAGCTGGACTCACACGTTTCGCGAAGCCAGTTATTTTGAAAACTCTTGATCATGCAAGATGATGCAATAAGCAATAATCGATGCAATAAGCAATAACAAGATAACAACATATGAATAAGTAGCTTCAAGTTTAAAACCAACACAGGTTCCATGAAAAAAGACCTAAAACGCACTGTAACCATGCCAAAACGTGAGACGAGGAAAGAAAACACCGCTTAGAGTCGCGTTTCACACGCCTTGAGAAACTGAGAAACGAAAACTGCTCGGGGTCGCGTTTCACGCATTCGGAGATAAAATCGCTCAGGGCCGTGCTTTATTCGTTTTGAGAGACTCTAATCACGCTGAAATCATGAAAAGAGGAGAAAAATCGCTCGGGGTCATGCTTCATGCGTCTCGAGATAAAACCTGCCCTGGGCCGCACTTCACGGTTCCTGAGAGAAAAAACAAAACCGCTTAAGGTCGCATTTCATGCGTCCTAAGAGACTCTAATCACGTTGAAATCGTGAGAAGATGAGAAAAATTGCTTGGGGTCGTGCTTCATGGGTCCCGAGATAAAACTTGCCCAGGGCCGCATTCCACACATCTTGAGATACTCTAATCACGCTAAAATCGTGAGAAGAGGAGAAAAACCACTTGGGGTTGCGCTTCACGCGTCCCGAGATAAAAATCGCCTAGTGTCACATTTTACACGTCTTGAGATACTCAAATCATGTTGAAATTGTGAGAAGAGGAGAAAAATCGCTCAGGGTCGCACTTCACACGTCCCAAGATAAAACCCGCCCAGGGCCGCGTTTCACGCGTCCTGGGATAAAACCCGCCCAATGCCGCGCTTCACGCGTCCTGAGAGACCGAGAAAAGGTACGAGACTGTACCACAAACACACAATGAAATGAAAGTGTGCTATAGATGTACAAAGTGAACAGGTGCGATAGATGCACAAAGTGAACAAGATTATGAATCAATACAGTGACAACGCATGTTGCATGCAAGATAGACAACATACATATGATGTTAATTAAAAGCATGTTCTACGCAAGAAACAAGAGCATATTCTATGTAAAATTGAAAGCATGTTCTATGCATGAATCATGAATGATGCAGGACAGGCGTACGATATAAGCATATATGGAAATGCATATTCTATGCAATAAAAGACAACAAATAAGTAATTTGACAGAATGAATAAAAATGATATCTGGGGACAACCTCCGATTTATCTTTCGGAAACTTTGTAACATGCTCAAAAAGGATACACCCTGTTCATATTGGCAAGTGGGGCACACTCATGCACTGGAACGCCGTTTTGAGCTCCCTAAGAATCAATTTGGACCCCAAAAGAGAACCTCTCATACACTGCTTGGGGAACAGAGGCACAAAATAGAACCAGGCCATAGATAAGGACCACCGGCCACCTGCCGGCCACCATTAGTGGCCTGTCAGCCACCTGTGTATTTTCGAGGGCAAATAGGCCATTTTGCTTCGGGTCTCTTTAAATACATATCAAGGTTTCACTTTTCACACACCCATATATCCGAAATCTTCATCCTATCTCTTTAGGTGCTTCATATCTCTAGATCTGTGCTTTATACACGTTTTCTAATGCCCCACACAACTTTATTTGCGAAACCCTCTTGATTCTCTACACTTTGAACTGATCAGATTTTGATTTCGTCGATTTTCTTGAGTTTTCACCACTTTAGGCTTGTTTTCCTCGAGTTTCTCTCGGGTTTTGTGAACTTTCCTTGGTTTTGACTTTTTCTCCCATTTTCTCTCTCCTAGGGTTGATTTTTTCCAAATTTTCTCTCTTTTCTCCATTTTTCTTCACTTTTCACCCACTTTCCAAATGACAGATGATATTCCTCATGACGGTGCTCCTCCTAAGGTTCCATCTCCATTATCACCCCATATCAAGGTTGAGGAGCCGGTGATTACTGAGGTAGGTAAGGTGGCGGGGGGCATCGCAGCTGATCTTGGGGCGGAGTTCATTCCAGAGCTCGAGCCTGAACCACTACCCTTGGAGGTACGTCCCTTTGACTTGTTGACTTATCATCCTCACACACATATATTGTTTCCTGGAGGCATTAGACGCTTCAACGATTTCATTAGTGGCGCGCTGGAGGATCTTTTACTGAGGGAGCCGGACTCCCATCTTTCTTGCAGCGCCTCTAAGATACGAACTCTATTTTCATACTTTCCTACCTTTCCTTAAACTGTATTTCTTACACTGTCTTTTATCTGAATGCTCTTTTATCAGTGTCTGATTCACTCTTTTTCTGCTACAGGGGGACTCCCGCTCTTATAGGGGGTATGGGGCATCGACGACGAGAGACTGGTACTATGAGCTCCCTCCAGAGATCCGCGACCTTATTGATGAGGCTGGCTTCGGTCTATTCTGCTCCAGACTTTCACGGCACATAGCGAGCCAGGCTCTTCTCGGCGCTGTAGTGGAGAGGTAGTGGGACGCCATCAACTCTTTCCACATCTCTTTTGCTGGGGAGATGATGATGACTCCCTACGACTTTGCCATGATCTTAGGATTAGGAGTAGGGGGTGATTCGATCCCCTTTGACATGGACATGGGTAAGTAGAAGGCAGCTTGGATCCACCTGTTCAGAGCGTGCCCACCTCTATACAGACCGGCGATGGTGAGGTATAGCTGGTTCGCCGAGTGTTTTCGCTGGAGCAAGCCGAAGACACCGGAGGAGGTAGAGCAGTATGCCCAGGGCTTCTTGACGTTTCTCCTCGGTACCACCTTGTTTACGAATAGGTGGAACACCGTGGGTTTATATTTGCTGAGCGCTCTCGTGACCCTGTCCCGAGTCCGGTTCTATGATTGGGGTAGAGCTGGCCTCGCTACACTCTATGGTTATATGAGCTCCACTTCCCGCATGAGGACCAGAAGGCACATGTATCACTACAGTACTATTGATAGAGACAGAACCATTCACATCATAATGGCCTCGGGCCCACTTCTATTAATAGGGACAGAATGACCTTTGGTCCATATCAATGCCATTATTCAAACATATCTATTAATTTAATCAAAGCACAATATCGATGGAATAGGCCATTCACAAACAACAATACATAAATCATAATCATAAAAGTAAGTGAAACATAACGTTACATTACTATTACTCACAGTGATCGGCTTCCGGTAGTAATTGGACGATGTCCTCGTCTCGACCTACATGTACATTGCACAACACATAATATGAGATTATACTCGATCCTTTACTTATTCTCTGTGATCATTCAATAAATTAGCCATGGTGGTACCAAGCTCATTATTCTTTAATAAGTTATAATCCATGCCTTAAAAAATAGGAGAAATCGATGGGAAATGGTTTAGGTGAAGAAATGGTACAAAACTGGTTGACAGAAAGTGAACAGTCTTCACTAATTTGGGCATAACTATTTTTGTATTTAGAATTTGGGAGTGAGACTACCGCCATTGGAAACTAGACTTCCGGGGCTTGATTTTAGGCTCAAGAATCACTCAAAACGGAGTCCGGATGCAAAAGATATACTTGTTTAAAGTTGGTTGGACAGAGCTGTCTCCCGCACGTGCGGAAAACAAGGCCGCACGTGCGGCAATGGGCAGTTTGCAGTCCGAAAATGGCTGAAAAATTGTGACTTCTCATTTTCAAAATCAAACCTCAATTCCATGTAAATCAAAGCCCAAAACCCATTAATACATGACTAATTTCACATTATTAATCTCCATTAAACATCATAACCTCAAAATAAACAAATATAATGACTTGAATTCTTCAATCAAGAAATTCTTAGAAAATCAAGGTTCAATCAAATATATACATATAACCCTAACTCAAATGGGTTCAAAGCTTCCCTTATTATCATGATTTCATGAAATTGATGCCTCAAACATAAGGATTCAAGATAATTTATCATAC